GCTGCAACCCATCCCACTCTTGCTTATTCCTATTGTGATTCAAAAGCACCAGATCCCATTGGCACTGCAGGCTCCCTTTGCCCCTGCAGAGTGATACTCCACGGGATTCTAGATCACTTTTTTTTTTTTTTTCCCCTACTCTGTTTCTCCCCCTCAGTAGCTCCTCAGATGCCTGAGGTGTGCTGTGACCTGGCAAGTGCCCTTCAGATGCGGCATACAGACTCCAAGCTGCAGCATCACCACGATCGGCTTTCAGTAATGTGAAAAAGGCACCCAGAGCCTTTCCTCATCCCTCTGTGCTGAAACTCAGTAAAAAAATGTAGCTTCTTTTCCCTCCTTCTTAATTAGACCATGATCTGCTTTTCCTTTTGTATAAGATGTTTATACTAGACTCTAAAATCCTTCCCCAAATACATTCTCATAAAAAATAAATAAATAAAAAGGAACAGATGGGGAAATGGGTGGGAAGTGTTAAGTGGCTGTTGCAGTTCTCATCAGAAAGAGGTGGGAACTTGACAAACTTCAAATCTTTGATGGTTCTGGGTGGGTAGAAGCTCCATAGCTGCAGTTATCTCCCCTCCTGCTATAGGTATATGGTGCCTATAGGAGACACTATGTTCCTCATATATAGTCTCATGGCACCTGATTTATATACACAGTGAAAACCAAAATACCAAAAGTTGATAACAGAGGTATCTTTTTTTTGGGGGGGGGGGGNAGGTGCATTTTTGTTTGTTTTACAGTTAATAGCTCTGTATGAAAAAAAAAAAAAACCTTGAAGCTACGGTAGAACGGCACATATATTATTTGTATTTAGAACACCGTGATCTCATTTCTCTAAGTCACGTTTTAAAATACTAATTGCTCTGGATTTGCATCTAAATCTTACAGTCTTAAGAAACAGGCCCCTTCAGGAAACCTATAAAACACTTACAACTCACTATATTGTGCTATAAAACGTAGAGGTCAGCAATTAACACCAAGGTGCAAAAACTGGGACTAAGATCAACAGGACGAAGCACCGTTTTTGTTTGATGCTTGTAAGAACTTTAGGGACAAATTCTAGGTTTCTGTCACTGCATCCCCAAGGGAATGGGGCTTGCAAGCAGGAGAATGGGCAGGCCTGCTTCTGCTCCACGCAGGTTGGACTAAATGTGGGAATTTGGAAGAGACACCCAAAAAGACTGAAAATGACTGGGAAAAAAAAAAACAGAAAAAGAAAAAAAAAAAAGAAAAAAAATAGGAACCATTCATTTCTGTGTCAAAGCCCAATTCGGGGCAGGCAGCCGCGAGACTTTCCAGCCACCCAGGGTCACTTTGTGGGGGCCCTGGGCGGGCAGAGCAGCTCGGGGTGCTGAGGGTCGGGGCCGCGCAGCGCTGCGCGCCCGCGGAGCGGCCCCCCCGCGCCGGCGCGGCCGAGGAGGAACTGATGGCTGTTTGTCCCCTTCACTGGTACCCCTTAGAAATGCTAAGGAGGTTATTGAGCGCCGCCTTTGATGCGCTGATAGGCGCTATTAGGGAGTCAATTAGGCATCAGCGAGATGGATCGTTGGCAATAGCGACTCCGCCGTTTGAAGTCCCCGTGAACACTAACGGGGCCATCATGCAGGCGCTCCCTCGCCCGCGGGGCCGAGGCCGCCTCGCACGCAATAAATAGCAAACGCCCCTGACTCACTCGCTGCCTCCCGCCCGCCGCCAGCCCCCGCGCTGCGACGCAGGAGCTGGGGGAGCAAACACGCGTTTTGCATTAAAAACGCGTTATCGTCGCAATCTCCTTGGGTTCTTTGCTCTACTAATCGGCAAAGCACCCAGATAAGTTAAACGCAAGTTAAAGCTAAACAAAGTCTCTTTTGAATTCGCATGCACGCCATCACCACACCGCCCCAGGGCTTGTGACACCTTCACAGTTGGTCGGGATTCCCTGGGCCTAGAATGGCCAAGCGTTGAAAGGAGAATGAGAACACTGATCCTACCTGAATGCCAAATTGCTGCTGAGTTTTTCCCCTATTAAATACCACGAGAAAACGAGCCGAAACCTGGGAGTTTAAAGAACAACCAATAAGAAAAACTAGCAGTGTCTGCATAAGCTGCAAGCCCTTTCTCCCCTCCCGCCGGTGGGATTTATCGAGTTAATTGTCATCTAATTGCGTATCAAAGAAAGAGATAATGGACTGCAATTAGATCTAATGGTCTGGCGGGGTGAGATGCTCCCTGATTAGCACACAACGCGGCACAGCTTCACCTGGTTTGCAGACAGGTCCCGGGAGCGGCTCCACCGAGTCTGGGAGCTGCGGGGAGCCAAAGCCCCGGGCCGGGCCGGGCGCAGACGGTTCCCCGCCGGGGACCCTGCGCTGATTCAGCGCAAGGCGGCTTTGAAGTCGGTGCTAGGCCCCGGGTACGCAGCCTCTGCCCCCATTGCTGCCTCCCTCCCCTTCCCCCACTCACTCTCCGCCTAACCGGGACGGCTAGGCTTCTCCTATCTAGCTAATGGACTCAGCTTTTCCATCCATAGGTGCCTCGCAGAGAGTGCAGTGCCTTGTCTTGCCGGAGCGCATTCCGGCACTGACGGGCACCGTGATGCGATTAAAGGCACAAAGAGAGTTTAAAGGCACAAAGAGAGATTAAAAAAATAATAAAATAAAAAAGTAAAATGAACGAAGTGCTCAGATGTTCACATCGGCAGCGGGGAAAGCCGGGGAGGTTTCGTGTGGGCCGGTAGTGCTGGACTCTCGTGTCGGAGCAGAGCCATAACCGGACTCGGGCACCCAGGAGGGGTCAGGGACTGCAGGTGGGAAACTCGAAAGGAAAACACGGAAGATGTCTGGTTTTCTTCTTCCCCCGATAGAAGGGAAACCTTGCAACCACGTTTGAAAACGGATTTTGACTAGTTTAGTAAAAATTAATTATTTCGTAAACATCTCCAAGATCTTTGGAATGTATTTGTTACTTTATAGTAAAAATATTTTAAGCACATAAAATACGAGCTCTCAGAAGGATTCAGAAACATCTGATACCTCTAGGGAGTCAGCCACGCGATCAGCACTTATCGCGTTCACGTGAGCAAACCTCGAGGAATGGGACAATATTTACCAGCTAGTGCTGCCCAAACTCTGCAGTTTTTGCAACCTGGTGCTGCCCAAACAGCGGCGGGACGTGTTGTGGCTTGTGGCCTGTACAGGCGGCCGCGGAGTCATTAGGCTAAGGGACCATTAGCACCTTCCCGAGCGCAGCCCTGGCCGCCGTTCAGCACGAAGCGCGGGATGGGGGACCCCGTTAACCCCCTCTGCAGCCCGGCTCCCGCCTGCACTGGCAGCAGCGGCACCTGCAGCCGCGTCCCCCCGGCCCGCAAGGAAGTTCCCTTCCCGGAGGGAGCCCTCGCTTCCTTCCCCCGAGCCCTTTCATCTCTTCCTGGCCTCTCCGGCTGCAGCCTCCCCCACATACGTCCTGCGGGGCAGGACGGCTCCTCCGGGGGCCGCAGTTCAGACTTTTTCGTATTTATTGACCTTGAGTGCTTAGCTATCCTTAAAATATGTCTGCATTAGGAAAATATATATATATAATATATATATCCATATATGCCATTACAGAGCTATTTCGAAAACATCTCAGACTTTAATTATATTTGAAAGACAGAGAATTTCAGATTTCCTCATTCCTTTGGATCAATATAGTCATTTTAGTTCATAGTCGTTTAGCTGATTTTGATAAGTAAGATTCGTTCACTGGGAAAGCCTATTTAGTGACAACAAATTTCCTTAATACTGAACTGCACTGTACTTCTGCCCCCCTGCATAAAAATGCAAGTAGGTGCATTCAAGGGAAGGCTGACAGAGAACTGTCAAGCAACTCATTGTAAGAGTCCAGATTGCAAGTACAACGGGTACAAGGGAAGTTTTCTTTAATAACCCCGGAGACTGATCCTAAATTGATGGATTTTTTTATGTCTTTTTTTTTCATGTCAACTGACAATTGACTTGAAAAGATTTATGACAATTTACATCACTCAAGCATCAGTTCTCACAGTCCTTTTTCTAGCCTGAAATCAGACTATTTTTTTGAACATTAATTTTTAGATCTTTATTAAAAGAAATGCACAGCACTATGCTAATGAAACAGAATGCCATTTATTGAAACAAATAAGCTTCAAATAAACAAATAAGGATAGTTGCATTAATTCTGACAATCACTCATACCCTGTTAGGTGCATGTGAGATGCTGAGGTAATATTTTGTTTGGACACCATTGCTGCAATACTAGATGATACAAGGTCTAGGTAGGAGAGAGGTGCTTATTAATCTACTGAGGCCACTTCATACAACAGCTGTGAGGACAGGCTTACATAACACTTATTTAGGAGGTAGCTTATTACATCTTAAAATTGTGTGTGATACAGTATTTAAAGAGATCCAAGTTCTCTTCCATTCTGCTGCTCTAAGAAACCAGATATTTAATAGTAGTAACTTGATTCAATATAAATTCATATAGCTGCTTAATGACACACTCCCACCATAGAAAGTGCTGCCTGGAAAGTCTCTAAAGGGATGGGAGTCCCCTGCCTTAGAGGACAGTGGGAATTTCTCAGCTTTCTTACACTCATCTTCAGCAAATGAGACTATGGTGATCTCTCACCAGAACCAGAACAGGACTATGGCTTAAGGCATCTGTGCCTTAATATTCCTTTCATGGAGGATTTCAGGGCAGGATTAGCAGCTGTGCAATCCTTGGGGAAGCAATTTGGGTGAAAGCTGTAAAGTGTTCAGGTTTATTATTATTATATATATATATATTTTTAAAAAGTATCGATATGGGCCCTGCCACGTCTGTATTTTGCACGATTTCCTATAAACGCAGGGGCATGAAGTCCATGTGCCAGCTTGTCCAGTCCCCGTAAAACATCTTGCTTGGTGCCTGCCCGTGGATCCGCCAGGCAGTTGCAGAGCGGAGTGCCCGCGTCGCTGCCATTAGTGCAAATGCTCCTCAGTCCCGGTGCGGGCGGCAGCTCAGACGCCCAGCAGGAAGGCCCTGGGGTCCCGGTATCCCACAAAACAGGGCGCTGCCCAGAGGCCGGGAGGCTGCGCTCGGCAGGCGCTGCTGAGGTCCAGGGCGGGCGCCGGCAGCGTCGCCAGGGCGAAGGCGCCGGCAGCGGCCTCCTGCCGGGGCAGCGGTGGCGGCCGCGCCGCGTACGCGAGGGGCAGGGGCACCAGCGCGCCCTGAGGTCCGTAAGGGAGCGGGGGGCTGCAGAAAGGCTCCGGTCGCAGCTCCTGCAGTTGCCGCTTGAGCTTCATCCGGCGGTTCTGGAACCAGGTCTTGATCTGCAGGGAGAGGACGGGGGAGATGAGGAGGGATGAAGGCAGAACTCCGGGAGCATCCAGCTCCATCCCCAGCTCATCCCCACTTCCCCGTGGCCTGCGTGCCCGGCCGCGCCGCTCACCTGCACCTCCGAGAGCTGCATCCTGCCCGCGAGCTTGCGGCGCTCGGCGGCGCCCAGGTACTGGTGGCGCTGGAAGGAGCTCTCCAGGGTGCTGATCTGCTCGGCGCTGAAGGCGGTGCGCAGCCGCCGCGCCCGCCCGCCCGCCTCCTCGCCGCTCTCGGCCTCCGCCGCCGCCGGCGGGGGCTGCCCCGGCGCCCACGGCCGCTCGCCGGCTCCTGGAGGAAGGAGAAAGCGGGTCAGCCAGGCCCGGGGCCCTGGAGGTGCCCGCCCGCCCGCCTCTCCCCTGCAGGGCAAGAGGAAATGGGGCCAGACAAGTCCTTCCCGGGGAAAATCTGCGAGCAGATCCCAGCACAGGCAGGGTGAGCCAGGCCCAGTCCCTCGGGGCACATGGCCCTTCTACCAAATCTCCCGCGATGCTGCGACGGCCACGGTTACCTGCAGCAGCGGGGCCGGCCGGGCGCTCCCGGCTCCTGCCGCCTCTCCCGGGCCGCGGACCGGTGCCCTCCTTCCCGCTCCGCTCGCTGGGGCCGGGGCTGGAGCCGCCGTCGGGCCGGAGTCCCGTGGCCGCGAGAGACGCTCGGCGCGGGGCGGCCTCGGCGGGGTCCCCGGGGGCCTGGCTGCTTTGGGACAGCCACTCCACAGAGAAGGGGGCCTTGGTCATCCTGACTGGTGTCGGAGCTACCGGTAAGGAGGGTGCTGGGGAGCACGGCCCCTCTTTTATATCGCAGATCCCGGAGGAAAACGTTGTTTGTGTAAATACACATCAAAGGGCCAGATAAGTATCATCTAATTGCCATCAGTCCTCCCCCTCTACAAAAGATACTGTTCACACATTGCCACAGCTCGGGAAGGCTCGGCTCCGCCGTGTCTGCCCCTGGAGGAGTTCACTCTGCCCTCAGTGATTTACAGCACTTGTTACATCCTATCCCCATGCAAATGGCATTTATGGCGCTGAGCGGCCTCAAACGGCGCTGGGAATGCGGCCCCGGGGGGCGAGCAGCTCCCCCCGGCGCTGGCGGGCCGGGTGGCTGAGGGTTCCCAGTCCCCCTTCCCCGAGACGCTTTTCAAATCTCCCCTCCAAGCACAATTTGCTCTCCCTAAAGGGATCTTCCCAAACTTGCTGCTCTCTGGGCTGAGCACTGTGCTGCCGAGACAATCTGAGGTGAGCAGACAGACAGACTGACTCTGCGCCTTCTCCCAGCATCTGCTGCTGCTCATAGGCTCCAAACATGGGAGCAGAAGCATGTTCCCAAATACGGGAACAAGCAACATCCACACACACACACACACACACAAAAGGTAAAGGCCAAGTCTGTGGAGTCCTACCCATCGACTGGCTCCCAGTTGTTTGCATGAAGTGTATTATCAGAACTAAAGAATCAGAAAAGACAAATATGCCCTTAAAATTAACTTTCTGCTGAGATTGTCCTATCTTTTGTGTCATATCTTCCTTCCCAGATCTTTCCAACTGTGCAGGTAACACAGGTTTCCCTGCTATCTTGCTCTCCCTGGCTTCCCTCTGATTTCCTTTTAAAATGTTTCTCCTGAGAGTTCCCATCTATGCTGGGAGTTTGTGGCCCTGGGAACACATGGCTGCTGCAACGATACCTTTGCAGCATCCTGAGAAAGGGTTTCTAGTGGCCCTGCTGTTTTACTGACAGTTGTGCTGCTTTACAGAAACTTCTGCTGTACAGAAACCATCAATCCCCTTCAACTCCCTCCTCCTCCCTGCACAAGGGCAGAGTGGGACCTTCTGCCAGCACTTGTGATAACTCCTATCACACCCCGGCCTGACATTACCTCCAGAAATCATGAGTGCACGTCTGATCTGTCTGTCCTAGGGCCCGTATCCCTCTTCAGACTTACCCTCTGCCATCCGCACATAAACCCACTGCTCCACTGCTCATTTATCCAGTGACTTGTTCTGCTATTCTGCCTCTCCTGCTGGATTTCCCAGTATTAGCCTCATCTATGGTCACAGTCAGTACAACCATGGCTCTATTTCTTGGCCTGTCAAGGGACAGAGGGCTTGAGTACCAAACCCCTCCTATTTAGTTTATGTTTAAATCTTTCCAATTTATTTCATTTTAAACTTAGACCTATCTTTTTCTTTGTAGCCACACAGTAAAAGGTTTTACTCAAACCATTTCCACCTGTCCTAATATTCACATTTTAATCTCCCCTCTATTCAAAATATAGTTGCTATATCCAGCCATCAGGAGTTGCCACTATTTTCGGCCCACAAGCAAACTCTTGCCTTGAACGAAACTCAGTTTGACATCCAAGCTTATTCCAAGCTCAGTCTCTCCCTGCTTGTTCATTCTTGTGGCATGGTCTGAGCCCTCTGCTCTACCAGTGATGCCACCGTCCAAGCTGTCTGTCTGTCCGAACAACAAGAACATCCACGTAGCCATTGCCTTTATTTAACAGTGGTTAATAATAAATCCAGAATCTGTGGATGCTACCATGACCAGGAATGACCACAGTCCTCCTGGAGTCCTTTGTTTTGGGCCTATCAAGGGATCTAGACACAGGCTGAACAGTTAAATTAAATTTCTCATAAAAAATCACCATCAACAAACACAACAACAACTACACCCTTGAACCTGCAAAACAAGCTTCCACGAGGAAACTAAGAGAACCAGTGCTAAAATATCTCAACAGAAGTTCAAGCATTAACATCTCCTGTATATCCGTTGCATACCTAAACAAGCCCACAAATACTTCTTGTGTAGACAAGCCCCTGCAAGATGCTCTTTTAGTTTTCTCAACTGTGTAAAAAGCTCCGATCCATATCTGAAGACTTAAAAATTCATCTGAGCTCATCTAAATGAATAAATAAAAACTCATCTAAAATGTCTAATGTATAAACATATATAATATATATAATGTGTAGCGCAATATGTTGTGTAAATAGCACACATAGAGAATGCAACCTGTCTGCAAGACTTTCTTTTAACCATCTCTGTGTTAGAGAGCAAAGGCACTGGGTAGGACAAAAGAATACATGACATATGATGTCATTCTAAAAGCTAGAAAGTGTCAGGTTTTACTATCCACTGATACATCTGTGAAATAATTTCCTTACAGATTTTATGACATTTTCTCCATCTGAGTTGCAAATTACATACTTATACACTGCTAGTTCATTAACTGCATTTTATTGAGGCAAATGTCACAGCCAAAGACAGTGTCAGCTGTTGAGCTCTCAAACTGATCCCATTCTGACAAGGTAAAAACAAATACCATTTCCCTTCTACATAAAACACGAGCTGAAATAGTCTACTTGGATGGCAGATGACTTCTAGATGCAATGACTGCTATAATATTTAATAGCTGCTAGTTTAACTGTATTTTTAAATTGCCTTCTTTCTGTTTCCATGTGTTATTCAAGAGGTGTTTGTTTAAAAACTTACTGCTAAACTGAGATTCAGAAAGTCAACTGATACCTCTGATATGCTGAGAACTAATTCTGCTGCTACAAGCAAGGAGAGATGAAAGCTCAGATATGGTTACCATGGCAGAAGTCCTAATACCTACTTGGTGAAGATGATGATGATACTTCAGGCAGATGATGTTCAATAGACTCAAGAACTCTGGGGAGCCAGAACTTTCTCCATGAAAACAAAGACCACAAACTTCCTGATGATCAAAGGAAATTGAGGATCCTAATACCAAATGTCAGTCCAGGTCAGGCTGTCTTGTAGGGGGTAAAAGGAGACAATTTACATCCTGTAGAATTGAACTGAGCTGAGATTTGTTACTTGACCTAGATACCCTATGTTTCTTGTGAGCAGGAGCTGTATTCAAAGAGGACAAGAAGAAAGATCATGCTTCTAGATGTCTTAGGCTGGGTCAGATAGGATGGGATCAAGCTGCTCTTGGAAGGCAGCTTTCCCAAACGTATATGTAAAAGACTGGGCTCAGGCTGCACAACTGGCTATTCCTGCTTGAATCCCTCTTGCCCAGTTGATAACAGATACATTTCAGGTTAACAAGCCCAGGCTTCAAGAGCTAATTACTGTTCCACATCTGCCTGCAGAGCAAAGGCCAGCCCTGCTCTGGAGGTCTCAGGTCAGAGCCCTGCAGAGGGGCTGGACTGTTCTACCCCCTTTCCATCGAAGTTTTGGAGGAACTGTAGAGATGGGGTCCCTCTGGGGTGCCAAGCACCCCCTGCTCCCCACCTGGAGCTGCTTGGAGAGAGCTGCCACTCACTTGGCCGTGTTGCAGCTAAGGACACAGGACCAAAGCTGGGTGCTGTCCTTTGGTAACAGCCAGTTGTCCTTTCTTGTAAGAGACCTATGAGACTGGAGCAGAGGGAGTGGGTGCCCTTGGACACGCTGGGTGGTATTCCAGGGAAAAGAACAAAAGTTGGCTGAGGACATGCAGAAGGATCAGTGTTCATCTGCAGAAATGCAGATTCTATTATGGGATGCCCAGTGAAGCAAGGGCTGTTGGTATCCACCATGCGATTTATATAGGCTTTGCCCTGGCACATTTATCCAATAATTGTAATTTCTGGGAAATCAATCTTTTGGGCTTAAAAGCATAACAAGTGGCCTTTCACCAAACTCTTTATTATCAATTATTATACTCTCTCCTCCTTGACAGACCAAGAGCTATTTTTCCAGGAGAAATAAAAAGACCATATGTGCAGAAATACCAGGAGGGCCTGGAATAAACACAGCGACTATGCCTAGATGAAAATTAAATGTTTCATCATGCTTGGAACTGATCTAAATCAACACAGCACTCAGAATATCAAGAGCTCCCATGGCCCCTTACCATAAGGTTGTTACCAACAGCTTAGCAGAGCCAGTGAAATGCTTTAAAGAGACATATTCTGCTGAGAGTGCTGCAAATACGAAGAGATGAAACACTTACATGGGTTGTGCTTTTAACAGTTTCTTGGCAGAATTTAAGTACATCAGAAATGAAATCAAAGTAGATACAAATCAGGACCACATTCGAATGTGTGTTACTGCTGTTACAGAAGCAAGGCTCACCAATAGATGATTTGTTTTAAAATTATTATTAGACCAATTAATATAATTGGGCACCAACCAAATTTGAGGCACTGAGATCTATCTTCAGCACTCATTGCTCTCATTTTGTAATGGAGAGATATCTCCATGGGAATTGCCTGAGAGTTTAGAGATAGTTTTATATTTAATTCTGTCTAGACTAGCAATTAGAGTTTTTAAACTAATGGTTTGAACAGCTGGAATGAAAAGGGGTGGGTTTATTTTCCCAAAGTAGACAGGGATTAATTATGAGACATATAAATATGCTTTAGCATCCAAGTTATGCTAAGAATGAGAAATATCTAGACATGGGAGATGCACCTACAAGAATAATTTGCATCTACACATATCTCACTCTTGAAAGTAACTTTTCAACCTTCAAGTACTAGAAAATGAATCATTCTTTTTTTTTTTTCCTTGTTTTTAGAACCAACATTTAAACATTGTGAGGTCAACCACAGAATGTGCCACCACAGTGGGCAGCTCTGCATCATCTATCATCCTCTGCACCCATCCTGCTCTGAACCAGACCGTGTTGCTTTGAAATGCATTGATCCCAGCAGTAAAAACACTTTATCAACTCTTAATTCCTATAACTTATCTAATATAAATCATACGTTTGCACTCCCCTAAAACT